TTCATGGCACTCAAGTTCTTATAAACGTTACCGAATACCAAAGAAATTTTTTTTTTTTTTATATAATGGATTACAAGGAAACATTCTTATAAGAGTCCTGACATAATAGCTAAATAAAAGCTAGTAAAAGCCCTAAGGAAGTCCTTCATCATGCTTGTTGATATGCTCTTCTAGTTGGATCTTCTTAAATATAAGTTGTTCATGATCGACGTCTAAAGATTAGTTTGATAGAGGAAAATAAATCCTCCATCTCTTCTTTTGTTCTTGTTGGAAGTAAAGGGGAATCCCTTGTTCACTTGGATCTTCAATGATAATGAGAGTATTTTGAACTTCTAATGACCTTCAATGATAATGGAAGCCTCTTGTATTTGTCTTTTGAGTTTTCTTCAATCTGAGCTCCTACTTCCTTAGGCCATCCAAGTTAGGACTCTTAAAAGAATATTTGAAAATATTTTCTTTTGTAATCCATGTTGGTTTCTATAATGTTTATAAATAAAACTGAATTCCATAAAACCTAGTATGATGCCATATGGATGCAACAAACACAGGTAAGCACATAAGGAAACAAAGAATAAACAAACAAGGGGGACTCTAGGTTTGTAACGAGCATGGAGCCAAAGGGTGTACCCAATTCCCAAAGGTTGCGGACTAAAGGTTGATTGTACCTGCAGAACAAGGTTCTAAAGAGGTTCCCAAAGTCATTAGCCCATCTTTCGTATATTATCAAATTCCCAACTAACTCGGTGGTTAATAATATTCTCAAGAGAACTTCTTCTGAGTGTAGCATCGCGTAGCACTATTTTGGGACTTACTCCCTCATAGCCTCGCACTACGTCCTAATAAAGGCCAAAGTGGGGTTAAAGGTAACTACGGTCCTTAGTATCATGGACTCCAATTGAAAATAGTAAAAGTTTTCACGACTAAACTCGTTCAACCGAACCATTTTCAAAAGGGTCTCAACTAAGCGGGATTCTCGAGTCAACTTAGTCGGGACTCACTCCCTATAAGCCTCATCGAATATGCCACCATCCTATCATAATTTCTCTCAAGTCCGGGTGTAGGAATTTGTCTCACCACTCAAAGGTATCAACCCAAAAAGCAATAAAGAACAAATGAACAAGTAAGCAAATAAGCAAATACATAAAGCAATAAGCAAGCAAAATAAAACAAGATAGGGAAACCCACTGAGGCATCCCCAGTGAAGTCGTCATTTCTGTCACGGTGAAATTTGGATACCAAACTATTGATTAGTTTGAATCTTTAATTCATTTTGCAACCGAACTTTGATTTGTCCAAAGGAAGGGATAAAGATCGAAATTCCCACAATGCAATGCAAAATGCAAGATAGAGAGTTATAGGTTCGGGGGTTGGTTAAACTTAGGGAAGGTGCTAGCATCCTAAGTTTCTATAGTACTCTACAGGAACCTCTTGTTTTATATTGTTTATTGCTAAGTGTTTATCTGCTTAAGGTTAAAAGACCTAGGGGGTTTATTTCTAAGTATACTCGATAAGATGTCGCATCTTATGCCTACATATCCTTATGGGAGTGGAATCAGAGTATATGTAGTTCCCCTAAAGGGTTTGAGGAGTTCTTTGATTATGGTCAAAGTTCCTACGGGTTTAGGGTAGTTGATTGATTGATTTTAGGAGAAAAGATGAGTTGTCATTTTAAGGGAGATTACTTTGTTTTAACCGCCACAACGTTGTAGGAAAATAGTCTTTGCATCGTCTTAAGAGAAGGGCTCAAGCACTCGAAATTTAATCGACAAGTACGCCTCTATCTCTCCTAAGGCAAAGTCCCCACGATTTGAGTGAATTATTATGGGGTAGGAGTTTTATCTCGCTTAGGATGATTAACATCTTATTCTCTAAGGTGTTTGAGAAGTTTGAATGGAGTTGATTTGTTTTCCTATGTTGTAAAGTAAAGACGAAGGTCCTCCTATGGGGTAGGATCTGTCCTAAAAGATCGACTTGAATGGGATCAAGGATCGATATGGAAAATGATGCAAATGTAGATGCATACGCACAATTGTTTAAATCATGCGCAGATTCTTCCTTTGGACGGATGCAATGTGATAAAAGTAAATGCGAAAATGTAAAATTGCGGAAAGAAATAAAACAGATAGAATAAACATACACACGCATGAAAGTGCTAAGGTGTAAATGAGTACGTGAGTGAATTGGAGTGCAATCGTAATGGAATCGTGTACGATTAGATTGAATTGCGATGTTGATTATTTTTAGGCGAGGTCAATTGATTTTTAGTCGGATTGATTTTAAGCGGATTGATTTGTAAAAAAAAAGTTGATCAGAATCAAATTAGTGAAAATTGTTTGTGGGAAAAGTTAATCTATTAATTTTCAGTGGGATTAAAAAAATATGATTTAGATTTTTACCGGTTTTTACTTTAAATTAGATTAAATTAATTAGACTTTTAAAAGAAAAGGGGTCAAATAAAAAGTTAACATATTAAATAAATGGCTTTCGTTATTATCATGAAAGATAAGAAATTAAATTTAAATTGAAGAAAAAAAGGTTATTTATTATAATTTTAATTTACTTTAAGAAAAAGGTTTTTTATTATATAAAAAACTTTAGTCATTATAATAAAAGATGAATAATTAATTTAAGTTATAAAGAAAAGTTTGTTATTACTATTTATTTTGGAAGTTATTATATAAAATTTATTATTATAGCCACATATTAAATAAATTAAGAAAAAAAGGTTTTAGTAATTATAAAAGAGAGTGGTTATTATTAGATAAGAAAAACAAATTAAGAAAAATCATTATCTTTTAGTTGCAAATTATTTAGAATAATGAATAATGTTATTTAATAAATAAAAAGAAAAAAGGCTTAGTATAAGTTTTTTTTTATTGAATTGAATAATTAAATAGGCCTCTTAGCTAAAAAAACAAGTTCTTTTTAAAAAAGAAAAAAAATTAAGTCTATTATTATTATATAAAAAAGGTTATTAAGTTGATTAGTTAATAAAATAAATTCGTTTTAATAAAAAGAAGGCTGATGATCTAATTAACGGTTAATTAACTTGATTTAATATTAGGGTGAGTTAATTGTGGATTAACGGTTAATAGAGTGATTAGTGGCAGAAAAAGATTGTGTGCATTGCGTTGGCGATGGTTTACGGTGGGCGTGTGCGTGTGGGACGTTGGATCTAGTGATCAAGTGAGATGAGTGTCTGTGACGTGAGGTGCGCGGTAATTGTGGTGTGTATGCTTACATATGATTACATCAGATAAACAAAATTGAAAAAAAAAGCAGAAACCAAATCCCTAATTTTTCAACTTATCCCCAAATCGGCTTCCTCTCACTTGTCCGCCGTCGTAGCTTCCTCGTCCGATCTTCACGGTTTCTCGCCCTTCTTGCTCCGTTTCTTCCACCTTTTCCTCCTGCAGTTCTCCGATCTTTCACCATCTTGCTTCCATTTCTCTCTCGCCTCGTCTTCTGTCTTCCAATTTCCATTTGAGGCGTTCTGGTTTTGAAAACATTTCCATTCTTGCTGATTATGTCGGATTCTTAAAAATTAGTTCTTTCCTTTCTGTTCCCAGCAGGTACCCATTGTCATGGGATTTGGTTTTGGAAAGAGGTACAGCTGGAGGAATACGTCAGCTCCCTGTTTAACGTGCGCTGAATTTTGTTCTGATTTGTGTTTGACAGGTTAATTGTATTACCACCGTGGAGTTTGCCAAATCAAAATATCACGACAAAAGTGCAATAAGGAGAAGGAAGCCTCTCTATGCCGTACTGTGGTCCCAATCGTAGAGCAATCAACTGATGAAGGAGAAAAAGGGTGAGAGCATAAACAACTTTACTCAAGGCTTCAACCAGGTGCAATGAGTCTTTGGCGGGAGCTTCGAAACTATCTTCACTAACGGTCCGATTGTAGGTGCTAATATGCAGGCGAGAGAAGAGAACACATGTGCTGCTAGTGGGATTAACGAGAGGCTCTCGTAAGCTTCTCAATCTGCTGTGCAAGTTCCCTTGTTGGAGCCAAAACCAAAGCCTGACACTGAACCAATCCATAATCGAGCTGCTGCAAAATTCCAGAATAAAAGGTTGCAGTCCTAGCATTTGATAAGATCACCGATTTAACAGGTATCATATGCTTCATCAACTCATCAATCCTCATTTCACTTTCACCTCTTCATCAATGTAATTATCAATGTTAGGTAGGAGTAGAGAGCGATTTAAGATGACCCTCAAATGATTAATGATATCCCTAATGTTTTGTACGTGAAAGTAACCATTTATTTCCATCTGAGTTACGAACATCAACCTTTGCTCTAATAAGTTCCTCCTTTAGCTATCGGTTTTGAAAATCATTAACATCATCCTCCTTTGTTTCATTGATAACAGGATCATTTTGAATGGATATTACTTGCTGTCCAAATCTAAGTGTGTGTAGTGTTCAGTCATAAGATTACCATGCGGTTTGATTTTTGCTGCAGGAACAACCATCACCGTGACCGTTTCGAGACTGACAACCTTCTTGCGAGAATCAAAAGGTCGATAATTTATGACTCTTGGCTTCAAAAGATTTTGATGGTAAAGTCTCTTATCCCGATATAATCATGTTTGTGGTAGTTTTCCTTTTGTAATTCAATGGTAATTAATGAGAATTGCTTTCGGTTGTCCTAGGCGCAGGTGTCGTTGAGTTGGATTCCATAATGGGGGCTGCTGTGGACCAGGGGCACTACTTGGAGGCATAAATTGAGTTGGTCTCATGGTTGGATTCTGCTGGGAAGGAAGATATTGTTGGTTTGCAACAGAACCTGGTAATCCCTGTGATTGAGGTGGTTTCGTTAGGACTCTGTTGTGTAGGTAAATATTGTTGGTATTTGGTTTGGTGCAGAATATCTATGTTTCACCAAACACGGTTGCAACCTCCTCTATCTTTCTTCTCAGTTGGTATGAATTTCACCCTTACATTCTGTAACTGCAAATATCTATCTTTGAGTGCAGGATCATGCGCTCGGAAGTCAAATTCTCCAATCCGAGGGATAAACATAAGAACATCCGTCTGAAGGGTCGACAAAAGCTCTATATCTGTCCGGTATTTTGTCTGAACTTGAAGATGTTTCCATTGAACAAGAGACATTGTTAGAAGATGAAGTTGGAGTGCTCCGAAGCAACCGATTTGAAAGCGGCCAATTTAATTTATGGGATAAGGAAGGTGAAGTCCATGTTAAAGAGCAGGAAGAAAGTACCATAGTGAAGAGTAGTTTAGAGGTTGAGTTTTGAGATGGAATGAAATATTGGATGGATAGTAAGTAGAATTTAGTCCATATGATGTGGTTAGAAGCTTGTGGCCGTGTGACAATGAAACATGTTTTTTCTTCTATTTTCTTATGTTATTTGACATAGGATTGGATAATGCCAAATTATTCATTGTGCTTTATAGAGTTTAGAGAAATCAGGCCAGATCAACTTAGTATTGATGCTTGAGTTTTAATTATCATGACCATTAATCTCTGAAGGTCAAATGTGATGCTTTGAATTAATCACCAAATATCTCGGTACAAAACCTTCTTGAGCCTTTTGTATTTTGTGATCTTGGATTAAAATTTGTAGACCTTCAAAGTTTATTTTAGAAATTTTCCACCAGCTTGTATTGAGGTCTTGAATGCGTATCGCAATAAAGTCAGTAGTGTAGCAGCATCTTGATCTTTGTAATAGCTTGACCTTTTGTAAAGCAAATACTTGAATATGGATCCTTGGAAAATATTAAACTTGTTCTCCTCATGATGAGTATTATTTGCAAATAATTTCAATGTATCATGATCTTGCATTTTGAAACCAAGCATATGGACTTGAATTTAATCTTTATTATGTGAATAATTTATCTTATCATGCGAAGTCCTTGAATTTTGTTACATGAAAAGGAATGTTGGGACCTTAGGCGTTACTGCATCTGCACCAGTTGGTTAGTCGCAAAAAAAACATAAATATTAAAATAAAGTCAAATAACAATAGAAAATACACAAAAAAAGGTGGGATCCTATGGTCAAAAATTAGGGTGCAACACTCAACCACCGTTGTCGTCGCGAATCCGAAAACCATATTCACTAAAGAAAACTCAGAAACGCATCCTTTTAAACCATCATCCATCGCACCCACCGCCGGAAAACGCCGCCAACACCCTCGCGCCTTCACCGCGAATCCACCATCGGGCACCCACACAAAACCGTTCACGCCGTGAGCCGATTCGTGAATTTCTAACATAACTTATTTGTTTGTTCTTGATGTTTTCAACGGAGAAAGAGATCGGAGAAGAAGAAAGCGTGACGGAGAAAGAAAGAAGAAATAGAGAGGGAAGAAACGTTCAACAGTGGAAGGAGAGAAGAAGTGGGGATTCTAGGGTTTTCAGATTATTTATTGTATGTTTTAATCCAGTGTATGTACACATACGCACACACGGTACACCCTCACACACGTGGACCTTAGATCTCCAACGGATCTAATCCACCGATCCACACTCGCTCGACCACCGTAAGCCACACAGACCACACACGCACGATCCGTTCGCCACTCCCTTAATTAATCCCAATTAAAACCATTTAATCTGCTCCTTTAGTATAAGCATTAACTTAATCATTCACTTAATATTTAATCTTTTCTCTAATCGACTTTTTAAAATTAAACTAATAACCCTTTTTAAATTAACCTTTTAATTAATCTATTTAATTAATCTTTTTCTTTATTAATTTAATTAACCTTTTAATTAGCTTTTTATTTTAACAACTCAATTTATTTATTCACCTTTAATAATTTACTCCCTCAATTTAATTTCCCTTTTAAAAATAATTTGTTCTTTTTTAAAATGATAAGGCCTATTTCTTCATAATTTAAAATAATCTATTTTATTTTGTTAAATTTTAAAAACTTTTTTATTTAATAAGAAAACAATTTCATAATTTAAATAATGTATACTCACTTGTTAAACTAAAGTTATAGCATAAGAAAACCTTTTTTAAAATCACTTGCTTATTTTATGTCTAACTAGCAATTTAATTAATTCATAACATAAGTTTTATTAAATAAATAAAAATAATTTAATTTAAACTTTTCCTAAAATTAATCTCACTTTTTCTTAAAATCAAACCTCTCATAATTTAATCTCGTCTAAAATTAATCAACGTCGTAAATTAATCAATCGCGCACGCTTGCGTCCCCGCTCTAATCCATTCACATACGCATAATTCACTCACTTGTGTGCTTTAGCGCTTTCATGTGTTTGTGTATGATTTTACTTTATCAGCAATTTATCTTTACCTTCGCTTTATCTTACCGTACTCATTTATCTTATCGCATTGCATAACATCCAAAGGAAGAACCTGCGTGTAATGTAAAACTTGCGTGTATGCACCTCATTTGCATCATATTCATCATTGATCCTTGATCCCATTCAAGTCGATCACTTAAGATAGATCCTACCCCTTAAGGAGGACCTTTGTCTTTTATTTTACAACTTAGATAAAAACAATTCAACAACTCAAATCAAACTATTCAAACAATTAGAGAATAAGATGTGATCATCTTGACAGTCGAGATATAAATCTCCTGCCTCATAACAATACAATCAATATGTAGGGACTTTTCCGCTTGAGAGAGATAGTGGCGTACTCGTCGATAACTCCGAGTGCTTGAGCCCTTCTCTTAAGACGACGCAAAGACTATTTTCCTACAAGTTGTGGTGGCTAAGTCAAGTATTCTCCCTCGAGATGACAACTTGTCTTTTCTCCTAGACCCAATCAATCAACAACCTTTATCCCTTACTAACTTTGACCATAATCAAAGAACTCCTTAAACCCTTTAGGGGAACTACAAATACTCTGATTCCATTCTCGTCAGGATATGTAGGCACAAGATGCGACATCTTGGCGAGTATACTTAGAATTAAACCATTAGGTCTTTCATCCTTAAGCAGATAACCCTTAGCAATAAACAACAATAAAAAAAGAGGTTCTTGTAGAGTACTACAAAAATTTAGGATGCTAGTACCATTCCTAAGTTTAACCAATCCCCGAACCTAAAACTCTCTAGTTTTTACATTTGCATTGCATTGTGGGTAATTCGATCTTTTTCCCTTCCTTTGGAAAAATAAAAGACCTGTGGTGAACTAAATTAATTAAGGTTCAAGTTAATCAATAGCTTGACATCCAATTCTCACCGTGACAAAGGTTTAAGGGTTTTGAGGGTGGATATGAGAATTAGTGATCTTTGGCCTTCGTGGCCTAAATCTATTATTGTAAATCTAACCGTGGAATTCATTGGGGAAAAGGGAAAGTTAGGCCTTCGTGGCCAAAACTATAATTTGTTATTTGTCTAACCCTGAAGGGATAGGAATATTATATAGTGAGTAACTCTGACGTCTGCAGGGTGATTGTAGGGAATTTATGATTTAGGGTGTGAATATGATATGAGATTGGCCTAATGAATCGTATGTTTTATGCCTTTATCACCGTAAGACCTTAGGGATGATTTAGGGATGTTTTGGGGGTATTGGGAAAGTGAATCGTGTGGACTTTTGGGTTGAATTAAGTTCTAGTGCGTAGCAGAATTTGCTGTCATCGCACTATTCGCCTAGCGAAGAATGCTTTGCACAGCGATCAATGTTGTTCCCATACTCGCCTAGCGAAGAATCCTTCGCACAGCGAAGAAACTCGCTCCAGACTCGCCTAGCGAACATGCCAGCGAACATAGCAGAGTTTCACAAATATTGATTGCATGCAGCGATGCCTTGATGTTTGATTCTGTGATTTTCGTGATGAATTAGAATGAGTATAATTGGGAATTCCATGTGATTAATATGCGATAATATGATGATTACCATGAGTATAATTATGAATTTTATGTGATTAATATGTGATAATATGATGAATTAACATAAGTATGACTGCGAATTCTATGTGATGTGTATATGATGATGATGATTTTGATGATGATAATTATTATAATGAGCTACGATGACATGATGTATATGATGATTATTATGATGAGCTATGATAACATGATGTATGATGATGATTATTATGATGAGCTATGATGACATGATGTATGATGGTGATTATTATGATGAGCTATGCTGATATGATTTTAATGATGATGATTATGATGAATGATGATGCACCTATGATGTTATTATGAGGATGATTTATGACGTATGCATCATGTATTCATGTGCATTCGGACTTCGGTTCAGGACCTCGATTACTTTGGCTTCAATCCTATTGTACGGATGTGAAGTGTTTTGATGTGCTCTGATTCTCTAGTAGAATCGATCCTATTGATGGGGATCTATGGAGGGTTGATGGCCCAGTGTCCATCGCACTATGATGATTGGTACCACATGCATTGAGTCTTGTTGCATTTGCATTTATGAGTGATTTGGAATAATTTATGATGTTGTGGCCTTGGAGGCCTATTAATGAATATGATGATGTTGAATATGACTATGACGCCATTTTATATGTTGATTTTCATACATTGATTATTATGAATTATTTTACTCACCCTGCCTGTTTGAATGTTACCTCCACGTGGGTAACGTGCAGATGACCAAGTTTAGCTGTGGATGCCGATGAGGACTTTTTGAAGTTTTGAGTCGTTGGTCTTTGGTCAACTTAGAGGGTTTTGCTCTGATAATGTAACATCGGGTTGGGGTCTTTGAGTAGAGCTATGTTTTATTGAGTTACTTTGATTACCTTTCCGTATAAGGAAAACTTTGGAATATGCCTTACGAGTTCCGCTGTCTTTAAGCAAATTTTGATATCTTTTGGAAAAATTTGTTATACACAGAGCATTGACTTATTTTGAGCTTTGAGAAATATACGCCCTTTGTGGTGATTTATAGTTGAGTTTAACATTTTACTCTGATGACTTTGAATAAATGTGTCTTTTAATTGTGGGGTAGACAAGGGTGTTACATTAGTGGTATCAAAGCAGGTTGATGTTATTTGTGCCCCTGTATGCGGCATGTGTGTGAAAACACTATTGATACACATTTATTTTCTAACCTTTGTCTGCAGAAGTGGGAATGAAACAAGTGGGGGAGAAGCTTGTGCTTCTCCAGGATGCTGCAAGTGTGGAGTGGTGGCTCAGTGTGTTATTGAACGCTCTTATGGTTTGGTAAAGATGGTTTATGCCCCCATCATGATTTTCGGTTGTCTATTGGAAAATTGAGGAACTGATCAACCTTAATATCTTGTTG